TTAACCCGTTAACGCCGTTACGGTGTTCTATGCCGTCCCGCATTAAGTGGGCTTTAAAGCTGTTGCGGCGGCATAGAACGCTGTAACGGCTCTGAGCCCCTGGAGGTCCGCGGTACTCACCTCTGCCGCTATCCTCTTCTGGAGGGCTGCCTGATAGCCCAGGCAGCCCTCCCTCGGCAAATGAGGCCCCCAGGGGCCATGTCATCACTCTCAAAGAGCGATCACATCTGCCAGCAAGGGGACTGTCTGAAATGTCAGCCAGTCCCCCTGCTGGTGGGAAAGTAAAAAAAAAAATCATTAAACATGTTATAAAATAAAATAGAAATGTATTTATATATTTACATATTATATATATGTAACGTCATACAAAGTGTATTTTAATATTAATATAAATAGATATATTAGTATTAAAATACACTTAGAATGCCGTTACATATATATAATATCTATATATACACATGTATTATATATATATATATATATATACGTATAATTACAATTATAAATAAATAAAATAATAAAAAATAAAATATTGAAACAAAATTTAATATAAATTATATATTCATATGTAATTTCATTCTAACTGTATATATAGACAAATACATATAATTACATAAAAGATTACATTAGTGTACACGTAGAATTTAAATACCTATAAATGCATATATATTAAAATTCTACATGTGTATTTAAGTAATCTTTTAACATAATTATGTGATTTGATTAATTAAAATTTGATTGACATGCCTGACAACACAGGTAGAAAGTGCAGAGAATTTAATTCACAAGCACTATATTTGACCCTGTAATTCTCCAAGACACCATAACACCTGTACATAGGGGGTGCTGTTTTACTTAGGAGACTTCGCTGAACTCAAATATTAGTGTTTCAAACTGGTAAATTGTATTACAACGATGATATTTTAAGTAAAAGTGAAGTTTTTTGCATTTTTTACAAATGAACGGCACTTTTATGGACTATATTATTGTTGTAATATGTTTTACTGTTTTAAAACACTAATATTTGTGTTTAGTGAAGTCTCCCGAGAATAACAGTACCCCCCAGTTTTTGTTTACGTTTTGTTTTGATCAGAACGTGCACTATTGACTCCGTCCTGAAGGGGTTAAAGATGTGTATTATAAAGGCTAACTCATGGAACATGCTATATTAATCCTCTACTTTTCCATCCTTGCCCGCACTTATTGCTTCCCTCCTTCCTTCTGCAAAAAGGAATCCTGAGATTCACATACCATTAACAGTACAACAATGATTTTAGTGGATTATTTTCTTTTTAGTAGTATATAAAAAATTATCTGTAACTATCAACTTAATGCCCCCCCTCGGCTTTCACTCAGCCGAGAATAGTATGAAAGAACTGACAAATATGTTTCCTTTTTGGAAGGAAAGTTTAAACACTGTTAAGATTCTTGGGCTCCCCACACCACTCTTAGGCCTTTGTTCTCTGCTACAACTCTTAAAGAAGCACTGTAGAATTAGGAATACATATCTGTATTCCTAACACTACAGTCCTGATGTGTCTAATTAGTTTAGTGCCCCAAGTGTATAAAATAAAGAAAGAAAAAGATTACTCACATTTTCACCTTCTGTGTTTCTGCGGCCTACTCCTTGGCTGATATCACCAGAATGACGGTCTAATCTAATGCTCCTCATAGACAAGCATTGGGGACCATAGACGCATGCTCTGCACTAATCACTATGTGCCTATGATTCTGTTATAGAGAATAATTGAATACTATGAATATCCATGGCAAACCGTGATAGCACTGCGCATGTGTGCGTGATGTCACGGTATGTTATAATATAAGAGCCGGGAAGTTTCAGTCCCAGCTTTTATAACCAGGGTTTCAAGGCATGGCTGGAAGCTCCAATTCCAAGACTTTTAATTATAAAAAAATGGTTTTGATGGTAGGAAAAGGGAGGATAGACTGAAGGTCTATAATAACTTAAATAAGATGAAGTTGCCATAGTGCCTACAGTGCTCCTTTAACTCCTTAAGGACCGTCTTCTTTTTGCGCTGTTGTATGTTAACGACCAGGGCTCTTTTAACACATTTGTGGTTTTTGTGTTTAGCTGTAACATTTCTCTCTCTCATTTACTGTTTCCATACAAGTTATATATATTGTTTTTTCAGGACAAAAAGGGCTTTCTTTACATATCATTATTTGTATCGTGTCATATAATTTACCTTAAAAAAATAAAATAATATATATGGTGAAAAATTGAAAAAAAATACATGTTTTTTTGACTTTTGCTTGAAAAATCTTTTATTACCTACGAAAGCTAATGAAAAAAACTGCTAAATAGATTCAAAATTTTGTCCTGAGTTTAAAAACACCCAGTGTTTACGTTCTTTTTTGCTTTTTTTTTGCAAGTTATAGGGCTATAAGTACAAATAGGAAATTGCTGTTTCAAAATGACAGTGACATTGTAACACTGTTATCTGTCATAAATCTCTGAATCACACCTCACATATTTTTTTAAAGTAGACAACCCAGGGTATTCAATATGGGGTATGTCCAGTATTTTTAGTAGCCACTTAGTCACAAACACTGGCCAAAGTTATCGTTCATATTTGATTGTGTGTGAAAAAAATAAAAAAATAAATTGAACGCTAATTTTGGCCAGTGTTTATGACTAAGTGGCAACTATAAAAGACTGGACATACCCCATTTGCAATACCTTCTTTTGCAAATGGTATGCCATCATGGGGGTAATTCTCATTCCTGAGCTTCCATACGTTCTCAAAGGCAACGTAACTAGAGTTACGTACCGAACATTACATTTTTTGTACCCCGGACCCAAACACGGACATATCACTGTATGTTCGGGTTGGAGTTCGGTGTTTGGCGATTTAATGGCGCATTTTGAAAGGATGCAGGGCAGCCAATCAACAAGCGTTTGACTCGTGTGCCCTTAGAAGCCATCACAGCCATGCCTACTAATGGCATGGCTGTGATTGGCCAGTGCATCATGTGACCCAGCCTCTATATATAAGCTGGAGTCGCGTTGCGCCACACGCACATGAGCTCTTATTAGTGTAGGGAGAGGATGCTGCAGCTTTAGTAGGGTGCACTTCATATATGAGAGTCAAATAGAATTTTGTGCGTGCTAATCTGCTAAATAGTAAATTTTGGGTCCTGCTCTTCATATCTGAGAGTCAAATAGAAGTGTCTAATAGTGTGCTTACAGCGCAGTGGTAAACATTATTATTTTCTGGGTGCTAATCTGCTAAATAGTACATTTTGTGGCGTGCACTTCATATCTGAGTCAAATGGAAGCGTCTAAAGTGTGCTTACAGCAAAGTTCTAAAAATTCACATTTTCTGGGTGCTACTCTGCTAAATAGTACATTTTGGGGCCTGCTCTTCATATCTGAGAGTCAAATAGAAGCAGTGCGGTTACAGCGCAATTGTAAACATTCTTATTTTCTAGGTGCTAATCTGCTAAATAGTAAATTTGGGGTGTGCTCTTCATATCTGAGAGTGCGTACTTACAGCACAGTTGTAAAAATTCACATTTTCTGGGTGCTACTCTGCTAAATAGTACATTTTGGGGCCTGCTCTTCATATCTGAGAGTCAAATAGAAGCGTCAAATAGTGCGGTTACAGCGCAATTGTAAACATTCTTATTTTCTGGGTGCTAATCTGCTTAATAGTAAATTTGGGGGGTGCTCTTCATATCTGAGATTCAAATAGTGCGCTTACAGTGCAATTGTAAGCATTCTTATTTTCTGGGTGCTAATCTGTTTAAGAGTAAATTTGGGGCGTGCTCTTCATATCTGAGAGTCAAATAGAAGCGTCAAATTGTGTGCTTACTGCGCAGTTGTAAACATTCTAATTGTTTTGCTGCTAATCTGCTGCTTACATTGGAGTTTTGAAAAGTAAATTTATTTATTTTTGGATCTAAATAGTATATTTGGGGTGTTCACTTCATATCTGAGAGTCAAATCGAAGACTAACTTTGATTCTTGTTACACAGATCTAAGTGATAGAAAACAAATTGATATTTTCTACACTAGAAACTACCAGATAACAAGCTGCCATATTAAACCAGTTATCAATAGCTAAGAGGTACTTAAATAATATTGTAATTCTGGGGCAATACCCTCACAAGTCAAACTGAGAGGTCAGTTTATAGGGAAAACTGTTGCCTGGATACAATTCTAAAACAATTTCCATATGTCCTTTGCAGACTTTACATGCTGGAAAAATGCAGGTGCCAACTGCTGTGACTTTATACAGTCTGCATACCGGCAAGGAGGGCAGAGTTGAGGAGTGGGTGGAAGATGATGTGGAGGATGATGAGGTCCTAGACCCCACATGGAATCAAGGTTATGCGAGTGACGTGTGCAGTTTGGAGGAAGAGGCACTGGTCGCACAGAGGCACCAGCACAGCAAAAGAGGGAGCAGGGTGCAAAAGCGGAGCGGCTGTCCCCTAGCGCTCGTCGGCATGTATTAGCTCGAGAATTACCAGTTATCCAAGTAATACATGTAGCGATAAAAGGATCCATAATAGAGTTGAGCGAACCCGAACTGCAAAGTTCAGGTTCGTACCAGATTTAATGATCCGTTTGTAGTTTCAAGGTCAGGCAGGCAGTCCGGTGACCAGGACCCAGACACTGTCTGGGCGGTGGTCGGACGACTAGGACCCAGTATGCCTGATGTTGAAGTTAGGAGTCACAGTGTGGAATGGATTAGCAGGGTCTGGTGCAGGGTAATCGCACACCCCCTGCTGTTGAGCACCAGCTTTTGTGCGGCCGCATACCAGGACCCTGATGCAGCTTCAGTAAAAAGAGTACTGGATACCAGAAGCCATCACCATACTGATCCGCAACTTGGAACAGCATGTGACATTCACTGTAGTGGCTGTGCGAGCTTTTGGCATTCTCACCCTGCTGCTGCTCGCCTGTCTACGCTGCAGCATAACTTCATCCTTCCCGCTCACCGCCTCATGAGACTGTACAAGCAGCAGCAGGCGATAGTGGAGTTTCAGCTGCAGCACCCACGGGTCAGTGGCTCTGCACTAGACTTCCCTCCAATTGATCAGAGTTAAAGGATTTCAAGTGGACTCATTACAATTACAGGGCCTTTAAAGAGTCCTGCATTGTTATTTGTCGTCACTACCTTCCCACGTCGGGAGTGGGTTATTTGCGCTGCTGCCTTCCTTGCATGTGGTAGCCGTTTCTCAGGGTCCCTGTATGGAATGGAACCCTGATTCCCTGTTACCCGTGGTCACCATGGTAGGCGCAGAAACTGGCTTTAAAAGTTGATATGGATGACATCCGAATGCAAAGTCGCCGTCACGAAGTTGTGCGATTGGCCCGAGGTTCTCTAGAGTCAACAAAGTGCCTGCGCAACTATAATGTCAACAGCTACTCTGCGGAACAGAGTTATCTTTTTTATATGTCCCAATATTTTGGGGACTACCCTAATTAAAATATATGTATATATATCAATATACATATATATTTTTTATTATAGTGTCTATCATGCAAATTGCTGATTGATACTTTTTTTGTATATATATATATATATATATATATATATATATATATATATGTATATTTGTATATTGATTTGTATATAGCCCACACTCCTTTGACACTTTCTCACTTCTTTTTTCACGTCACACATTTTATTTAACCTTCCTCACACTCACTTATCATCTCCACTCCACTCCTATCCCTTATTGCATATTACTTTATTGTTACACTTGATTTCTATGCTCCTTCTTTACACTTCCCTCTTCCCTACGCTCAATTCTTCTGTCTTTTCTTTCTTTATTTAGTTTCACACTTCATCTGTCTTACTCTATTCACTTACGCACACCATTCACTCCTTCTCTACCTGTCCATCTGCTTTACATTGATCTGGACTCTATGTTATTCCCCTTATTATATATCTATCTATATGTGCATTTACTTTTTTCCATTTATGAATGATCTTTATATATCCTCCTGCACTGGGTAAGTGATTACCTCTTAACAATTTATGCCTTATATTTACAATTGTCTCACTTATAGTTGTATCTTGACAAAGACCTCCTGGGTAGAAACGTTGATCCCCTTTACTATATATAAAGTTTGATTGAAAATATCCTCTGGAGTGCTCTCTTCATCATTTTCCATATATATATATAAGAGTGTTGGCTACCTCATCCTAATCCTCCACCGCTGCTTCCACCTACACCGCCACGGTCACTGCCTCCTCAACATATGGGTAACTTAGTATAAACTATGTACACATTAGCAGAGGCTTGTGAAGGCCTTTTCTCCATGCATCAGGACTGCAAGAAATGCACCGCAGGCCGCAAATATCTGGGGTGTTACACCTGCACTGGGTAAGTGATTACCTCTTAACAATTTATGCCTTATATTTACAATTGTCTCACTTATAGTTGTATCTTGACAAAGACCTCCTCGGTAGAAACGTTGATCCCCTTTACTATATATAAAGTTTGATTGAAAATATCCTCTGGAGTGCTCTCTTCATCATTTTCCATATATATATATATATATATATATATATATATATATATATATATATATATACATACATACATACATACATACATACATAAAACAGTGTTGGCTACCTCATCCTAATCCTCCACCGCTGCTTCCACCTACACCGCCACGGTCACTGCCTCCTCAACATATGGGTAACTTAGTATAAACTATGTACACATTAGCAGAGGCTTGTGAAGGCCTTTTCTCCATGCATCAGGACTGCAAGAAATGCACCGCAGGCCGCAAATATTTATTTTTTTGTATGTCCCAATATTTTTGGGGCTACCCCAATTAAAATAAAAAATAGATATATACAAACAGTGTTGGCGAATTCATCCTCCTCCTCCTCCACCGTTGCTTCCACCTACACCGCCACGGTCACCACCTCCTCAACCTATGGGTCACTTAGCATAAACTATGTACACATTAGCAGAGGCTTGTGAAGGTCTTTTCTCCATGCATCAGGAGTTGAACATTAATCCATGCATCAGGACTGCAAGAAATGTACCGTAGGCTGCAAATGTTTCTTTTTTTGTATGTCCCAATATTTTGGGGGCTACCACAATTAAAAAAAACAAAAAAACATAAAAAACAGTGTTGGCTACCTCATCCTCCACCGTTGCTTCCACCTACACTGCCACGGTCACTGCCTCCTCAACCTATGGGTCACTTATTATAAACTATGTACACAATAGCAGAGGCTTGTGAAGGCCTTTTCTCCATGCATCAGGAGTTGAGCTCAGTTTGAACAATGAAAGAATACCCTGCACTCCAACCCTCTCTCAAATGGATAATTCTGGTGATCCTCCTGACAGCCATGCTTTAGATTTTGATTTATGTTCTTCCAAAGCTAAAATCAAAGATTCCATCTAGTGCTATTTTATGGCTCAGCTGTATTTTTAAGTGATTTCCCTATCCACATTTGTTTGCAGGGCACTTGTCCTACTCTTACCCCCATTTTACTTCCTTTTGCAGCTCTTTAGCCCTTTCCAGGAGTTTTTTAAAGCCATTTTTGTGCCCAAAAGTTTGGGTCCCCATTGACTTCAATGGGGTTCAGGGTCAAGTTCAGGGTCAAGTTCGATCACGAACCCGGACCCGAACATCCAGGTGTCCGCTCAACTCTAAATGTAACCAACCTGCCAATTTTCAATGTAAAAATATTTGACCGTTATATTTGACCCTGTAACTTTCAAAAACGCTATAAAACCTGTACATGGGGGGGTACTGTTATACTCGGGAGACTTTGCTGAACACAAATATTAGTGTTTCAAAACATTAAAACGTATCACAACAATTATATCATCAGTAAAAGTGCTGTTTGTGTGTGAAAAATGCAAAAAAAGTCACCTTCACTGACAATATCATCGCTCTGATATGTTTTACTGTTTTGAATCACTAATATTTGTGTTCAGCGAAGTCTTCCGAGTAAAACAGTACCCCCTATGTACAGGTTTTAGGGTGTCATAGAAAGTTATAGGGTAAAGTACAGTGCTAGTAAATTCAATTCTCTGGACTTTCAGCCTAAGTTGTCAGGAAGGTCCCTCAAATTGCAATCAATAAAATTACTTAATTATGTAAAAATTTTACATAAATACACACATATAATTTAAATATATGCATATTTATATATTTGAAGTCTATGTGTATATTTATATAATTATTTATGTAATTTTGTATATGGACATATGTATATTTTGTATTATTTGTATTTATTTATATATACATAGATATATAAACAATTTCATTCTAAGTGTATTTTGAGATATATATATATATATATATATATATATATATATATATATATATATATATATATATATATATTTATATAATACAGTTAAAATAAAATTTCATATAGATATAAAAAAATTTTAAATTTGTATTATTATTTTTTTCATTTTTTAATTTACTTTACTTATTATTTGTATTTTTTTATATATATATATATATATATATATATATATATATATATATATATATATATATATGCATGTGTAATTTAATTATAAGTGTATTTTATATTAATATATGTATATATTAATAGAAAAATACACTTAGTATGACATTATATATATATATATAATTCAATTTTTTTATTAACATTAACCTTTATTTTTTTATTTTTTTTTTATTTTACACTTGCAGGGAAACTGTCTGTCAGCACATGCAGTCCCCCTGCAGGTAGACACTAGGACACATTTTGTGACCATGTGACCACTCTGTTGAGCGATCACATGACCCCAGGTGTCCTAATTCGCCATAGGGAGACTGCCTGGGCTGCAGCCAGTCTCCCCACACCGGAAGCACCGCCTATCGCCGCCGGGGGAATGAAGGCAATCGGGTAAGTACATAATACCGTTGTGACGGTTCAGGACCGTCAGCGGTTGTCAACGGTAAAATACAGATGACGGTCCTGAGTCCACAGTCGCGAAGGGGTTAATGTTATCTACTTTAAAAATGCAACAAACAAATTGATTAATTGTCTGTTATGAAGTTCTGATCCTCCAACCAATCTTAATTAAGAGGGTTGAATCAATTAGAAACATCTTGACCCACACAACAAATGATTTTACAAAGATTGTCCTGTGCGCCATGATAGCATCAATTCAGTTATGCATATTATTTTTAACTGCCTCTACAGTTCTTTTTACAAGAGACAGTCTTTTGTTATAATGTGTTGAATCAACCTTTTCTGAATTCAAAGCAGACTTGGCTCCCTTCTCTCCCCCATTCTTTCCAAATCCTTTGTTTCTTTTGATTTTTGTTAGCTCATAAAATGGATTGTTGACTAATGGTACCATGCTGATGCTTTTTGTCTGTTTTAGGCATATTTGTATGCCTGTTCTCATTTCTGTTGTTTGCTATGCTAGTGAAGCCGCCTCTGTTGCTATCCTCAATAACTATTGTTGCTCTGTTCCTATTAACTTTTCTTCCTGTTACCATAATTCTGCATTTGTTCTGTCACGGCTTTTTTACCTTCACCTTCTCTTTATGTAATGTTGCTTCCCGATGTTTCTCTTTATTCTTCATATATTTCACTTTCCTTTGTGCGTCAACAATTACGCCATCTACTAACGTCCACTTCATGGTCATTTATTAATAGTGCAAACTGAACAGAGATCTGCGCAGTTTATGCTAAACAAACAGCTGGTAAAATTTAGATGATTTTTTTTGTCTATGTTTTCTTAAAATTTGCAATTTATTTTAACTGGTTGCTTGCTGATCATGATTATATAGTGGATTTATATATATATTTGACTGGATCTGGTTGAAATTTTCTGTATGCAAATTCTATATTTTATTTGCTATGGATTCACATGTAAGAACAAAAAACAAATGCCACTACAATGGCAGAGCTGAAGCTAAGATTGTTCAGTTAAAGGGACACTCTGAACCCCTAAAAAACTTTAGCTTGCTGAAATGCGCTATGTGTGAAAAGTGTATCCTATGTTCATTTGACAAAAAATTTAAATTTCAATAAAGATTGGCACTTTTTTAAATTAACATTGTTATACCCTCCTGGCTGTCAAGCAGTATCTCTCTCATTTCAAGTATCTCCCTGTAGTTCTCTTACTAATTTTTTCCTAAGGAATTATTGCCATAAAGTGTATTAACATTACAATGTATCTCATTAAAGCTAAAATGATGTGTATAATTTTCTATAAAATCAAATAAGCACAATGTTCTTCATTCTGTCTTTAGAATTTGAAAGGGAAAAAGATACATATCAGCAAACAGAAATTGTACCCTGAGACTCTATAGATGAGAAAGAAATGTATGCAACATAATGAAAATGACACACTCAACTTGCTACAGCCTTTGTAAACATTCAAATGAAGTACACATAATGTAAGCAAACAAGTATCTACCTTCAACCAAGATAAATCATTTAATTGTAATCTAAGGTGAATCATTTCTATGTCTGTGATATTTTTTAAGAATTTTGGATCACTGATGATTTAGCATATGCTGAATTTTAAATGGTTTAAGTATTTTAACCATTTCATCATTCTCTACATCTGATCATTTAAATATTTAAATGCCTCATACTTCAAGCTTGCTTC